CGAAGAACCAAAACCCCCACTATCCCGGACGCGCTTTTCCAAAAAATGGCACTCCATTCCTTCAGCTTCCAAGGTATTTATAGTGATGGGATCTGTAATTGTTGTTGTCGTGGTTGCTGTTGTTGTTGTTGCTCTAGTGGTAGTAGTTCTAGTTGCTATTGTTCCGTAGCTGACAGGGTTCTTCTCGATCCGTCGACTCGAGAAAGAATTTTTGTTTATTTCCATCGCAACAAACCGTACGCTCCGTTCTCGCCTCGTTCTCTCTGTACGAGTAGCATTCCGAAAGTACGACAACAAAACAACTACGTAACGGTACGGTACATACTATCGTGTACAATACGTATGGTGGGAACGTAGCCTATGTCATTTCTGTACTGTAAGAAGAACCGATAACCGTACTTCGTCCCAAGTCCCAAGTCTTACTTCGAAGTAGAAACTGCAGAAACCCTACCGTACGGTACGTAAAATGTTAGTCGTACTGTTACGAACTCTTCCATCGTTGCGTTCAATGGCGATACAGTAGTACCGAACGTACGTAATGGTTACTGTTTTGTACTTCTACTGGGCAAGTACCGTACCACCTACCTACCACCCTAGCGGATCGGATGGAGGTAGCTCGCTAATTTTTCTTACTGTACCGCGCTACAGTATTCTTTCATTCGGAACTCATACTGCACTCTCCGTGCTGGTTCTGTTCGCGTGGTCCGTTGTTGGGTTTGGGAATGACTAGCTCGACTACGCTGAAAAATATGCTGCCGTGCTCGCTGCTAGTGCAACTACAGTAGAATGAGATATGGTACGGTATGTAGATACGAATATGACCCCCCACCCCACACCGGTACGGTAAGGTCCAGGATGGAAGTGCTAAGAGCTATGATCCGGGGTTCATCCCTTCAACCGTTCATGCGTTAGGTACCGGTACGACGTACTGGTACCTTAGTTCATATCCACAGACAGGGGTCGTACCTTCAGGGAATGTGTATTTTGTCTTTTACCGCCAGGTAAGACTCTAAAAACAGGCTTCTTTCCTCTATGAAACCGAGAAACGCATCGTAATCCATGCGGGTTTCGTACAAACTCCCGTTGGAAGGCAGGACGAAAACGTGGCTATTTATTGGTTCATACATTGTCATAATACGCCACGTCATAAGTAATAATAATCTTATGAAAAGATGGATGAAAAAGATTAGTATTCTCGACAACTAAAATACGAATCAACGTGTGCCAAGGAATGAATCCACAATACATAGCACGTGCAACCAAGAATTATACAATAATTGTATTACAATACATCTAGTAGGAATAGAGAAGTTCTAATTCAAGACCTAGAAACATTATAATTTAGCAATTATTGCTGCCGATTTGAACCAACGAGCACTAAACTTTTAGCGGATGGCTGTTAATATTATTTTATTTATTTCCATACCTGAGAAGTTACAAGTCAGCCAAGCCGACCGAACCTTTTTCGGGCACGGGAGATTTTTGCGGTAATGCCTCACTTAACACGAGTGCTATTATTCAGGCGTCAGAACAAAAAAACGATGATTGCCGACGAGTAAACGTTTGGTTTTATTTCGTTCTATTTCACTGGTGTACAACCCATGAAAAGATCCAACGATACCTGTGTCAAAAGTAGCAAAAGGTAACTGGTTTGGTGGAAAGTTGTTGCTGGGCTGAACTTGTCGGCTTATCTCCTATTTGCTATCTTCTGTTTCTTCTGTCTTTCCGGTACTGAGTGGCGATGTCCGCCGAAGCTTTGAGAAGGTATTTTGGATTGAGTTGGACTTGACCCGACTAGACTGGATTTCGATCGATCTGATCTGATCTGATCTAACTTACCACTCCTATTTCTCTGATGGGTCTGGACTCATTTCAGTATCTATTTCGTTTCAGTTGTTCTCCATATTCTTCGTCTTGCACTCTCTTGTGGCACTGCTATGGCGGCAAACCTCATTGCTATTGATCTAGCGACTTGATTATTCTGATCAAAGGTTTCTGTTTCACGGAGGAGTGTTGTGCGATGTGATGTGATGCAATCCAACGCAAACGATCTGTGGGGTTCTTTGTGGATTGTGTGTGCTCGTGGTGCGTCTRCAGTTGCTACGGGGAGAGCGAAAGGAGACAACAAGCGTCAACCGCAARGCACGAGATTGTTCTTCATATTCATCATCGGTCAAGAATAGATGTTACTATCGACCCGTTGAGTCGTTAATCGCATCAGCAATAGACTATTCTGCGCCGTTGATGGGTATGAACAACACAACTTTTGCGCTACTCGTTGCGTTGCATTGCATTCCGTCACATCATTCGTTTTCTACCATTTCTTCTCATACTTGGGGGTGCAATCGGATTTATTCGCAAATTATAGCACGTGATTATACAAGCACCAATCGTTCGAAAACAGCCATTCCAGAAGACTCAAAACAGTTAGCAAAATAGGTTCTCACAATTTATACTGATGAGGCATCCGTCCCATTAGTGATCAGGTTGCGATAAAATATTGTCCCGATATAGCTCTTCTTTAAAGATATTTACATGTGTGTTCATGCACCTAGCTATTGCGGTATCAGCTTTCGTTCATAAGGGATTCTCTATGGCACTCGTCTTTTCGTGGAAGTTTCTCATGCGCCGCTTGGTCAAGACCAGGGTTTTTGAACGAATCAAACGGCACATCGTTCGCAACAGCGCAACCTTTTGCTCGATGAGCTGCGATGTGGTCTGGTGGTGGTCTTCGTTTGGGTCCCTTGTGCTTTTGTCGCCGTCTCCATCGAACAGGCCGGATTCCCGGCAGACGAGGTTTTGTTCAACRTAGTTTTCGTCCGGAGAAATTTCCGCAACTTCGTCGTCGTCATCGTCGTCGACATCATCTTCATTCTCGAAAATCTCGTTGCAAATCAAGGATCCCTCTTTCGTGCTTCCGTTACTGCTATTGCTGCCTCTCTTGTTGTKTTCCTCGAGAGCATTTACTTCGGTTCCAGACGATCTGGAGACCGCGGCAATCGCGCGCAGAATCTTCGACATGTCCTTCACAAGTGCAGACGCAGTCTTGCCACCAATTTCATAGTGTAAGGCGGTCTTCTTGTCGTCTTCATCGTCGTCTTCGTTGTTGTTTGGAGCATTTGTTCTTTCCGTATTCGATAAGAACGGCAGGAAAGTTGAACCTTCATTTTCAATATCTTCGCTCTCTATSGATGTTGACGAWGAGTTTGCTTTCGATTGCTTCTGTTCTTGTGTTTGTTGTGTAACTKCTAATGAKGCACTCCTCGTTATCGTCTTGGTTTGTTTCAKCTTCACAACTTCCGAGAGCATTTCCATCGCGGTCGTCGCCGTCGTGGTCGCAAGCGAAGGGGATCCGYCATGCGTTTGCTGCGCCCCTTGCTGCTTCTGGACGGTTGCGATGGAATCTTCGAGCCAATCACCRACAAGGGATAGAATGGCTCGGTCCTCCCTCGAAGGAATGCAACCGTTRTTGCTGTTTTGGCTCTTGCCCGTGCCAGCTTGTAATTGWTGCCTGGTGTTCAATATACTATTGCCGCTGCTGTTGCTGTTATCGGTTACTTTCCTCCTTTTGGGAACATGGAATGCTTGATAGTGACTTTCGCCATCGCTATCATTTGATTCCGGTCTTTTTCGTTTCTCCAGCGATTGGGATTCAGAGTTTCGATCTGTAAAAAAGACTAGATCATTTTCGTAGCWATTCATTTTGTTGCCTACATCCATATCTCTATTGTCACAATCACTACCAGAAGAATCTTTGCAGTCGCGCTTCTGGTCTTCCCTCCAAAATTTGTCGGCGTTCTCGTTGATAAGGTTGCGCAGAATCTCAAGGTTCGATTTTGTGGTCTTATTTTCGGTTCTGTAATCGATCGCTCTGCGCGGTTCGGATGTGGTTCCTACACCCGAKGAAGTCGCGTTTGATTCTCGGAGTTCTTGCGCTGTTGCCAAGGCTCTGGCAGCGCTGGATCGAAAGCATGAATTGCCGTCTTGTGTKTCTATCAGTTTTCTCTCCATGATCTTCAAACAAAATCTGAGGCAGGTTAAGGTGGTTTTAAGTTGGGATGGTTCCAGAATTGTTTTGTGATACGACAGCATATTGGATCAGTTTCCTCGACTTCTTCGGAAAACGGAGTAGAAATAGAAATACA